TTAACAGATGGATCAAAAAACCTTCAGGCTCTGGTGCAGGTGTTTTTGCAGACCCAGGACAGAGATATAAACCTGCCTAGAGACCTATGCGACAGTATTACAAGCGGAAGTATATGCTATAAAATTGTGTGCGGAGAGATTGGTAGAATCCAACCTCAAACACAAGTCAATAAAAATTCTCGGACAGTCAAGCGGTGTTGGAAGCTCTTGGCTCCTACCAAGCAACGTCTAAGCTGGTAGCAAATTGCCACAAACGACTCTCCTCGATAGGAAGACTCAACAGATTGTCTCTGGTCTGGATTCCTGGACATACTGGCCTGGAAGGCAACGAAGCTGCCGACTCCCTTGCAAAGGAGGGGGCTGAAAGCAGCTTCATCGGACCAGAACCTGTCATTGGCATTGGCTTCAGGCTTTGCCAAACAAAGATTGAACACCTGGATTGGCTCACTCCCAGGCGTTTATTCACCCTTCGAAACTTGATACCAAACAGTTGTTGGACTACAGTAGGTATGAACTACGATGTCTAACAGGCCTTCTTACAGATCACTGTCATTTGAATCATCATATGCAGAGATTTGGACTGTCGGAAGGCAGTGTGTATCGCCTCTGTTTGGAAAATGACGAAACAGCAGAGCATATACTTTGTGCCTGCCTCGCTGCAGGTTTTCAGAGTTTGGCAGAACCACACTTTCACCATCTGACCTGAAAGGTCACTCAATATATAAACTAATCGGTTTCGTCAAGAAGCTGGGTTTATTTGGTCGGTGTGAATAGGTGTGAGCCGCAATAAACCCTTGCGGGTTGCGGTGGAGGGTCGAATAGTCCTACTCACTTTTGACCTAACCTAACCTACGTGCTTTGAAACATGTGATCATTTAGAGAATTTTCAGTGGTGACTTTTTTCCGGGAATATAACATAAAAGAAAAGATGTCTGTAATGAGGATTACAGAAAATCACCTAATGAGGCACAAATGAGATCTAAAATATTTGATGTTTGTTTATTTGTTTAGTTTAGTTTAGCTTAAGCTTGACAGCAGAAAAGAAGGCAGTGTTGATATTGCAATTTTTGTTCCAGGTAACACTAGGAATAAGTGTCATTCCCAAATCTGTTACGAAATCTAGAATTTTGGAGAATTTCCAGATATTTGATTTTGATCTAAGCCCTGAAGATATCCATTACTTGGACTCTTGTAACAGAAATCAACGAGTATCTGCTATGACCCCTTACAAGGACCACAAATATTATCCCTTTAATATTGAAAATTAAAAATTATAACTGTTATGTTGAGAATATTTTGATGTTTTTTGGAAATCACTAATAGTAAAAATTTTCTGTTAATTTCATAGAATTCGTCAGCACTTTAATTGATCTCATATTTAGTTTCGCAACTCCGATATCTGTCAATTCAAATGTTCCAGTATGCAGAAAAATAGTCAGAGTCATCCCAGTTTGAGGTTAAAATTTATATATGCAATATGAAATTTACTTATTGTGAAATATAAGTATATGGAACCATTCCTTGTTGTGCATTTCTGAAATATGTGATTAGTCAGAGCCCATTGAGAAGAATGTGATTTGAACTAGCTTACCAAAATCTCTGGAAGGTTACATGGAAATCTCTCTGTACCTGTAGAGTAGGGAGGGTGAGTGTATACCCACAGCACTTAGGCCACATGTGACCCATTGTGACCCTCCCGAGGAGTTGTCCTCCTAGGTCATCGTCCATCCTGTTCCTTCCAGGAAGGTGGACAGGTCACTAGGAGACATCAGCTTTATATTGGCAGGTGTAGGCCAAGAATCGCCGAACACACACTCTCTTTGGCAACCTTGAGGTGTCTCACGGTGGCCTCCGTGAAGGTTTATGAAGGTGCAGTGACATAACTGTCGTTGCGCGGCTTCTTCAACCGTCTTGGGGTTCCTTTCGTGGAGGCGCACAAGTGAGGGAGCTTTCCTGCAGGGGCAGCCGGTTCCTTGCCTTTATGCAAGGCGGAACTCTTGGCGCTCGCCACAGGAAGTGCCTTTGCTGTTGGAGGTGGAGTGGGGGAGGAGGAGGGTGCACTTATAGTTGCTGCCACTCCTGCCTCCGTCACTCTCTTTCTCCTTTTGGCCTCGGCGCCGCAAATGCGCTTACGCCTTGGCCTGTGTATTACATCACGAGGCCTTAGATTGAGGTGAGCACTTCTGTCCAGCCTTGGGATTGGTTTTTGTTTTCGTTGTTTCTGTTTTTGTGTTTATTTCATTCATGTGCGTTCCCACGAGTAGCAAGGGAAGAGTTGGTCACCTCTGGCAGAGCCCCGCGTTACCAGAGATAGGCTGATTACAATAAGGTTTCACCCAGTTCCCCGAGGGGATCGTTCGTAACGGGATATCACTCTGCGGCCATTCAGCTGTCGGCACGATTCCTTACAGCTTAGCTTGGGTAGGCTGGTCCACGGTGGCATGTTTTGCAAAGGCTTTTTTGGAGTTATAGTTCCCCGCCACCTGGGGATGCGCCCGATAAGTAGCCCAACTAACAGGTTACATGGAAATAAATATCCAGTGATGCAATGACTAATGGACCAGGCTCATCTTGGACATATTTCCATGTAATCTTGTGAGGTCTTTAAGTCAACCAGTTCAAATAATATTCTCCACTCAGTCGTAGGGGTTCGTAAGGAAACTGTTGTTCAGAACAGAAGTTCTAGAATACCAAAAAATTGTTTATTGTTTGTGAAAACAACTGTTTGTGTAGTTTGAACGAATTGAAACCTTAGAAACTTTTCAATGAACAACATGTAAAAAATGTAACTGTCAATTGATAGTAATACTCGTATGTCATCAATTGGTCTTAAAGTCTGAGAAATTTCAGTTCTTCACTTGTAGAGAAAAAGGATGCTAAATGAAAGTAAGTATATTTTTTATCATGTATTTTATAGATGTCACATGTGTAGTTATTCGTCGACCCTACTGTGTGGATGTCCATTGAATATGAATATGAATATTGAATATGAATTGAATATTATAATTGCTTAAAATGCCAGGACCGTAATATTGGATGAGTTAGTTGAAAAAACGAGTAATAGTAACTGAGAAAATTATAAACGATGAGAATGGAATGCAAAAATTAAAACAATGTTAATTTGTAAGGAAAATAAATCATTGTAAACTGAGATGAAAAATAATCAATTATAATAAAATAAAGTGAAATGATGGGAATTAATGACTAAAAAATGCAAAAAGCAAAGAAAAAATCAGATAAAAATTATGAATAAACTAGAAGAATGAGATTGACGACACTACTCCAACCACACTGAAAACTATGAAGGAGAGAATAAGGGCTGTTTTTCGAAGAGTGATGCCTCAAATGTTTCATAGAGAGTGGAGGATGATCGTCATTTCGATAACCTTGAATTAAATTCATTTGTATTTCATATTTTGTTGTTGTTTCAGTTGTCAGAATATGAATGTAAATGATAACTCCATTTTAGTGAACAGTAAATAGTTTCGATGAAGTGAAGTATAACTGTCAATGAGAATTCTGTGAGCAAATCAAATAAATGTCGTTTCCAAGCTATCTTGATTCAAAAAATGCATTGAAATAAAAACTACTATTTGGGAAAGACAATGTCCGAAGAATTATTTAGGTTAGGTATCGGGAACACCAAAATGAAATGAAAAATAATTGTATTTTATATGATTCAGACCAAGAAAATACAAGATATTCTATTTGGTATAACAAAGTTATCTTTGTCCGAAATTATGATTTTTGAACATTCTGTATAATTTTGAGGAGCGGGTTCAATCGAAATCCATAGTCCAAAACCTCTCATGGTACATGGTACCTTCTATGAAATCATATTATTTTTTCCTGAACTATTGAAAGGTATAATGAAATAGAGGGTGTTTCATTAAAAAAACACAACTTTGATATGTCACTTTTTTGAGCCACCCTATAGACTCCAAAATAATTTCTTTCTGCAGTCTTAATCAATATACATATAATTATGAAATCGAAAAATTCAGCAAAAAATTAATGGTTTGGTATACAGGGACCGTGTCGTATGAGGTGCCCCATCCTGTATATGTAATCATATATTTGCTATTTGTTTTTATCAAAAGACCTTGCCACTCTTGAAGTTTGGAAAATACCCCGATAGTTCAGTGGTATCAATCCTGTATAGAACATTATAAAAAATAAATTTGATACTAAAATGCAAAGTTTTAGTAATAACTGAACCCCTGTAGTCATATTTTTTTAAATTGCTCATATCAAAGCAGATAACAATAATAAAACTTTCAGCTCGTTATTAGTTGTAGCCTTTCTTATCATTAAAATACTTTAATGAAGAATTACTTTCGTCAATAACAACTGTAAACTGAAAAAAAAATCAGTTGACGTATAACAGTGTCACCGCTACATCAACCGATTCTCTAAATCAATTCAAAATGGTGTTAATCAAGAGATTCATTTTGTTCACCATCTCCGTCAGGTAGATAATCATTTTGAAATCTAACGACAATGAAAAATAGTTTAAGGTGTTTAGGTTTTCAAAACCGCATCCAACAGATTTTTCTATATTTCCGGGTTTATTACCCGTGGATTCCGGGTATTTTTATCGGTCGTTTTGTCTGCTGCAGACATTATCAATGACGATGCGGCAACGGTCGAAATGACATACAGCTTGTCAAATCTAGGAAGCGTCTTCAAAGTCTCGGCGGAGGTCCTCTCCTAAGGTGCACATGGTAGAAAACAATCTTGTAGTGTCCACTTCGGTGAAGTATAGTACGCGACAAAAGTCTGAGCTCATAGAAAATGGCATTCGAATCGAAATTGAAATGAAAAGTTTTGTGTGGACAAGCGAGAGAAGTGATTGCTAATGTACTTTTTTTCATGCAACGAGAAACTGATTCTGGCATAAGCACGGGCCTGAAAAAAGTCCAAAAACGACAGGTGTAAGTTTGGGTAACATTAAAAGAATAGGTCGTGAAATGAATACAATTGAAAATGGTGAGTCATCTTCTTTTTCAACCTATAATAAAAAAGACAAAGTCAGATTTTGATGATTTCAACCTTCTTCGTCGATATATAATCAACTATTACATTTAAGAAAAAAAACCCGCTCTACGCCGCATACATGAAAAATTCGTTGACGTTGACGTTGAGTCTCCGAGGAAAGTGATGGAAAAAATAAGGTTCAGATAGGGAAAAACGAATGAAAATAAAAAAAAATAAGGGACTCACCGGCTTTTGCGAAGAAATTTATTGAGAGACATGAAGAAATACCGTGAAGAAGGTCAACTAATAATTTATATGGATGAAACATATATCTATGCTTCACATACGAATGAGAAGAGTTGGAATGATGATTTGGATGAAGGGTTGCTTGCACCAATTTCAAAAGTGCAGAAACTTATAATTGTGAATGCATCCAAACTCAAATCCAACACAAAATCGGGCTACAATCATAGCGAAATAAATTACAATTACAAAAAGTGGTTGCAAAAAATACTCATTCTCAATATTCCAGACAAAAAGCGTTTTGGTTATAGACAATGCCCCATATACAACAATGTTCAATGTGAAAAATGCCTCGTGGAAAGATGAGATGAGAGGATGGTTAAGACGACGGAACATTTATTTCACGGATGATATGCTGATAATTGATCTCTATTCGATCATTAAAATCCATAAACCAAGATTCAAGTTGTATGAAATTGGTAGGATTATGGAAAATCATAGACATACTGTACTCAGATTGCCTCCTTTTCATTCAGATTTGAACCCAACAGAATCAGTAAGGGCATGATTGAAACAATATGCGGCTGATAAAAATGTGGACTTCAATTTCAACCCCGTTGAAAGTTTATGTGACGAATTCTTCACTTCGTTTTCTCAAGAGCGCAGTGGAAAAAAACGTTGCGAACATGTTAAAGGTTTCGAAGAATTTCATGCTTCGAAGGAACTTGTTCTTGATTTTGCAATAGATGAAATTATTATAAATGTTCAAGGTGATAGTGGTAACGATGGTATTAGTGAGGACAGTGATGATTCTACAAGCGATTCCGATCTGTCTGGAGTTGAACCTTTCTAATTTCTTGATCATAACTTTGTTTATATTTTTGTTTAAATACCATCTCAATAAATATAATGTTTCCCAAGAAATTTCCATTTCGAAATTTAATTTTCAAGCTAAGTAAATTACATTTTCAGAATAAGTTTTTCAACTTTTCCTTAATAAACTCAAAATTAAATGCAATAGACTGCTGAAAAACAAACTCATTTGTATTCAATTACGTAAATACCACATTATCATACTAAACTAATTATTGACCGTCTACTAAAAAACCATCAACTCTCATTGCTACTTGCGGCGAGGACTGTACTCTCAGGCAAGTCTAAAACCCAAATAGGCGCACCAAGTTGCACGGTAGATTTCATAATTTTCTATCCATAATGAACCATAATCTTTTGCTGGACAAACTTTCAAGATATAGTGTAAGAGGAATACCCTTATCCTCACTAAACTCATACTTATATAAGAGAAGGCAAGTAGTCAAAGTTGGAAAAAGTCTAAGTACTGAAAGAAATATTGGGATGGGGTACCACAGGGATCCATTCTAGGACCCGTCTTGTATTTAGCTCTGCCAATGACTTGTCAGTGTACCTAAATAAGAACTCGGCCATTCACTGTACGTGTTATGCTGATGATACTTTATTTTAATTATTGAAAACGATATGAACTCCGCGAAAAACACAGCTCTAGAGACCTACAAAAAAGTTATTATGTGGTCAAAGAAAAACAATTCAATGTTGAATGAAGCCAAAACTAACTTGTTGTATTTCAAGATGAATATTGGACAACAATATGGGTTGAATCTGTTTGTTGATACTGCTTTAGAATTGAACCTAACCAAGTCAACAAAAATGTTGGGTGTTGGTTTTGATGACAAACTTCAATGGAGGACACATATTGACCACTTATCCATGTTCTTAAGATAGTCAACATTGCAGTCCTCAAGTTTTTTCCACATAATTTCAAAGAATTCTGAACCCATCCTTCACTTCCTCCGCAATGCACAATGATTAGTCGTGATTCTTTGTTTGCAGGCATGTTAGGCGTACACATTTCCGAACCATCAGTCCAACCTTTCGTAACTGTGTCGTGAGTGTCATACCAAGTTTCGTCCAAATAGAAAATTTGCCGTTGTTCTTGTCTATAATCAGTTATTTGTTCTGAGTATTTATTACGAAAATCCACTATTTTTCTGCTCTCCATAACTGTTTGTTTATCATTTTAAATGTAAATCCTAGTTTCTTTACCCAATTCTCAAGAGTTTTGTCACAGCAGCACACGTTATGGCCAGAAGTATTCAATTTCTTCCTTATGATTTCAGTTGTAGGAATCTTATAGCTTTTGTAACAGTCGTATATTGTTTTTTCCATGATTTCATTAGATAAACATCTAAAGGTTTTGGTAATCCTATATCAGATCGCGTCTTGCGTTCATAAGGTTTGTTTTTGACTATCTTACGTACAGTTGAGAAAGGAATTTCGGTCAAATCTGATGTTGCTTGTTTCCCTCGAAACCAAACTTGAGATGTAGTTTTATATACATTGAAATATACTCTCTGTGTTTCAATATTCAAGTGCATTCGAATTTTATTCACTGGTATCTAATTTTCGCATTGTTAACCATCGCTATTGGAATAACTACACTGGAAAAAGTCTGTGTTGTTATCACACTCGTTATTACTAATAGTACTTGTCCAAGGACGCCACATTTTGAACAGATAACCAAAATGTTAAGTAATTATAACTGCACCAATATCGAATTTCAATACTCAAATCGCAAACAATTCCTGAACTGAACACGACGACGATAACAATCTCCGCATTCCCAATTTCTATTCGTCACCGTAACATGACTTCAAATTTAATTTTATGACTTTTCAGCCAATCATAAAACTCGGTTAGTAAAAATTATCTAATACGTACCGCCACGGAGACTAGTTGGCTGCCGGTTCATTTCTATGTATTGGTTTTTTTGACCTTTGAGAGTGCTGCCAACTTTGAGAGTACACAATATCGTTTACTTTGACTATATAAGGACAGTCGGCCCTTTGATACATAGTCTCATTATAAGAACGAATGCTTCTGGGTCATTTTTAGTGGCCCTTCACAGCAAGCTAGATTACTTCGATCGTTGCCGCATCGCCTTTAATGATGTCTACCGCAGCAGCAGACGAAATGTTAGGTAGAAAAACCTCTAAATTACGGCAAAAAACTCGGTTAAATTGACGAACGTACGCTAAATACTAGCCTTTTCAACTTTTCTTCAATATGCCTCCATATAATACTGCCAGTCGTTAGTGTAAATTGGTCTTTCAAACCGCATTTTCATAATTTTTAACACTCCGATGCACGACGGTGGTTTTATTAGTTTCGGCAAAATGCAATAAACCTTGGTATGTTTGAAATAATTTTTATCTGGATCTGGCATCGTATGTACCTGTCAAGTATCCAAAAAGGTACAATTTATACTTAATTTTACCATAATATCTTTTTTTGCATATTTGGATTTCATACCTTTGTTCCAATAGTCCACCGTCGACCACAATGTAATTTCATTTGTTTGTCAGTTGCGATGTCGTCAAAAATTGAAGACAAAATATAGACTCACCATCGTGGGTACAATAAAAAACAATAAAGCAAATTTTAACACATACTAAAGATCGTCCTGTAGGCTCCTCCATTTTTAGGTTTGGTGTTCATATGATGGCATTTTCTTATGTGCCCAGAAAGAGAAAGAATGTGCTAATGATATCTTCGTTCCACAAGAGTGATAGAGTCGATCCAATAACTGGTAAACCAGAAGTTATTTTATTTTATAATACTTCTAAATGTGGAGTCTATATTGTGGATAAAATGAGCTCCAGTTATAATGTTGCAAGGAATACGAAACGATGGCCTTTAGTTATGTTTTACGGTATCTTGAACATTGCTAGCATAAATGCATTCATAATTACCTACCAGGCAAAACGACCCGAATCAGAATCATAGTAAAGAATTTGGGTTTGGAGTTAATGAAAGACCATATGCAGTCCAGAGCTACTATGTCAGGTTTACATTCCTACATTCGAAATACAATAGCTAAACACACTGGAATCGGCACTGAAGAAAAACCTGACCCTCCACCCAACAAAAGAGGGCATTGCAAGTATCGCAAAAAGAAATGAACTCGTTATTTTTGTAAAGCTTGGCTCTGTATGAGTCACATAATATTGAGTTGTGAGAGTGTGTTCAGCACCGGTCCTGAGTCCGGTACTGTCAATTCACGTTAATGCAGTTTCTGCAGTGGCGCAGTAATTTTCATCTGTTCATTAAAATTTTGTTTTTTGTTCTTTTATTTCCCTGATTGACGAATAATTTCATCTCTGTATTCATTACTTTTTTTATAATGGATTATTCTAACAATAAAGCCACAAAGCACAGTTTTTGTATTTGTCAGTTTTTTTGTGTTTATTATCAAAACTAAATATATTGTTTCGTCAAGTTATTGAAAATGCCTTAAATCAACTCACGGAAACAATTTTTTGAAAATATCCAAAAATTTGGGGTGAAAATTTGTTATATTTGAGTTGGTCCTAATAGACCACCCTCGTGTATGGATGTTAGTCTGGCTGAGGTCGTCCATCGGAGTGTTAACCGAGTGTTTGATTAGAGATTTCTTTCAAGCTTATGTGTCTCCGCTGAAAATAATGGCACCTTTCCAAAAGACTTCCTGTTTGGAGCAGCTTCGTCTTCGTATCAAGTCGAGGGAGCGTGGAATGAGGACGGAAAAGGAGAGAACATTTGGGATCGGATGACTCACGCTCATCCAGAATCTATAATGAATAGAGATAACGGTGACGTAGCGTGCGATTCCTACCATAAATACAAAGAGGATGTTTCCATTGCTGCCGATTTAGGTCTCAAGCATTACAGATTTTCTATATCTTGGACCAGGTTGGTAGAGTAGTTTTAAGTTTCTCGTATAAGACATATCCACAGCTCACACTGCCTAAACAAGTTCATCAGACATGAGACTAAAAAGTGAAATGAATAAAATGTTAAATTATAGGAAATACTAAAAATTACCGAACCAAAATATTAGTTGAAACAGAAAAAATAAATCAGATACGAATAATTATGAAGATAAAAATGCTAATTTATAAAGTAAACCAAGTACGATGCATTTTCAAAGAGCTGTTTCAAATACACTCTTCTACAGACACGAGAATGTATGCTGATTACTTGAGCTATCGTCTCTCAAGTGTATAATTAGACTAAAATATTGGTTGAAACAGAAAAATTAATCAGAAATGAATAATTATGAAGTTTCAGAGAAGGTGAGAACGCTAACTTATGAAGTAAACCCACTTTTTTACAGACATAAGAATGTACTCTGATTACTTGAGGAGTTATCGTCTCTTTAGTGCATGATTCATTGCCGATAATTCTCATCTTGTTCAATTTCACTCCATGATCAGTTTAGGATTTCAGAACTTGTTTGGATAATTTTTTTCCTATCACTGTTCTCTCGATGGTCATTATAACGTACTTTCAGAGGCCTTGAAGTTAACCAATATGACTTTCACCACGAAAAGAAGGTTTCTCATAAATACAATTTTCATTTTTCTCTTCTGTGTTGTTGGATTTTGTATGTTTGTTTGAAAGCTGTTTACAATGTTTCATGGTTCGGACTTTCATTGTCTAATATGATTCGAAATCTATGAAACCCCTTACTAATTGATTTTTCAGCTATTCATTCTGATTTCATTTGTTCTTTCATATATTTCGAATCATATTAGTCAATGGAAGTCCGCACTAGTAAAATTAAAAACTGTTTTCCTTTTTCCAATAAGCGAGTATGGGTATAATTTGGTCAAATTTGACTGGACTAAAGTTTCAAAACTGAAGTTTTGAACCGAAAACATAGATTTATATTGTGCAAAGCATTACCTGAACAATTAGGGCTCCCAACGACGTTTCTGATGAACATAAACACATGAAAGATCCTTTAGTTAAATTGTTCAAACAACCCGCGGGTCATCTAAATCACATAATGATAATAATAAAGCATTCATACAACCATTTACAATTGGGGCAACAAAAGAGTACACCTGCGAAAACTATTTGAGTAGTTTTAAAGACCTGAAAGTATAGAAACGTTAAAAAAAGCAAAAGTATCAATCGTTTCACTTTTTCAAGGTAAAAGTTTTTTAAATGACAT